GGAAAACCCAAAATTTGTAACATCAAAAAATTGTAAAGTTGAAAAACTGTAACATTGAAAGATCGAAAAATTGAAAAATTGAAAACTGAAAAAATGAAAAGTTGAATAAATGAAAAAGTTTTAAAACCCAATAATTGAAAATTGGATTTTTTTTAAAATTATAATTATTATTCCATATTTAAAATGAAAATCATAAAATTTCAAACCGAAAGATTGAAAAATCCAAAAATTGATAATTTTCACATTAAAAAAAAAAGGAAAATTATAAAATCAAGACCATGAAAAACCGAAAATTTAAAAAAATTAATAAAATAAACGCAACGGAGCGAAATCTCAAACTCAAAGAAAAAAAATGAAAAATTTAAAAACAAAAAAATTGAAGAAATAAAAAAATGAAAAAACAAAAAATTATAAAATCTAAACACTCAAGAATCGAAAAACTGAAAAATTATAAATTGAAAACTCGAGAAACTCAAATCGAATAATTGCAAAATCTAAAAGTTGAAAAATTTGAAAGTTGGAAAATTGAAAAACTAAAACATTTAAACTGGACAACTCGAAAAATTGCAAATCGAAAAACTGAAAAAATTTCAATTCAATTCTAAGAATTGCTAAATTCAAGTGACTTCTGCGGCCCGAAATCTACCAGAAAATGTATATAGTTAAATTTCGAAAATCGTTAAAAATGGGTCGAAATTTGCATAGTACTTGCAAAGAGAAGACCGATTTTGACATATCTTCTATGAAAATAAAGAAAGGGCGGGTGGGTGGGGCTAGTATTTGCTACGAAAAGACTGATTTTGGCAATTAATATACCTTCTAAGAAAATAGAGGGCGGGTGGGCGGGGCTAATATTTGCGTAGATAATATTGATTTTGGCCATTCATATACCCTCTAAGAAGATCGAGAAACTTAAAAATCGAAAAAATTAATGAATCGAAAAATTGCCGGAAAGAAGAACGAATCGACTCAAAAAATAGGAAAACCCAAAAATTGTAACATCAAAAAATTGTAAAGTTGAAAAACTAATATTGAAAGATCGAAAAATTGAAAAATTAAAAACTGAAAAAATGAAAAGTTGAATAAATGCAAATGTTTTAAAACTCAATAATTGAAAAGTGGAAAATTTTTTTAAAAATTATAATTATTATTCCATATTTAAAATGAAAATCATAAGATTTCAAACCGAAAAATTGAAAAATCCAAAAATTGATAATTTTCACATTCAAAAAAAGGAAAATTATAAAATCAGGACCATGAAAAACCGAAAATTTTTAAAAATTAATAAAATAAACGCAACGAAGAAAAACAATGAAAAATTTAAAAACAAAAAATTGAAGAAATAAAAAAATGAAAAAACAAAAAATTATAAAATCTAAACTCTCAAGAATCGAAAAACTGAAAAATTATAAATTGAAAACTCGAGAAACTCAAATCGAATAATTGCAAAATTACAAATTGAAAAATTTTAAAGTTGTAAAATTGAAAAACTAAAACATTTAAACTGGACAACTCGAAAAATTGCAAATCGAATAACTGAAAAAATTTCAATTCAATTTGGAGAATTGAAAAATTCAAGTGACTTCTGCGCCCCGAAATCTACTAGAAAATGTATATAGTTAAATGTCGAAAATCTAAGAAAATAGAGAGCGGGTGAGCCATCTCTCAGTATACAGTTTATAAAAACCAAAAAAGTATTAAAAGTATTCTACAATTAAAATAACACTGAAAACTAGTAGTATTAAAATGATTTGAGTTATACTTCACGATTACATGTACAGGATGAATAAATAAAGATATTAAAAATAGAAAAAAAAATGTTTTATAATGTTAGGGTTCATAAGCCTATTTTACTCCAATTTTCGTGAATACAAAGGGTTAGAAAAAAAATTGCAATATTTTTAACATATATCTTGGCAGATTTTATGAGCAAGTAAACAAAAATTGGTCTAAGGTTATTTAGACAGAACTTATAATAGTATATTAAAGAACGAGTACCGCGCACGTTTTTTCGCAAAATTTAATTGAAATTTGCCTTTTTTTAAATCCGGGGAATTTTGTCGTGGTTGGTGATGGGTTGGTCTGAAACTAACTACGAAATATTTGACGTTCGAATTTTCACAACAAACTGTAATTCGAATGAATTCGACTTTTTGTAAGTTAAAATTGTTCAAAATGTCTTGTGAAGAAGTTAGTGAAGTCCTTACGCCTCCGGAAATACCGGAAATTTTAATTTGACATTTGCCACTGACATTCACCTGACATTTTTCGTCATGGCTACGAATCTTACTGATCTAAATTACACCAGATCTATTAAAGAACGCCTTTCCGCTATTAACGAACTGCTGTGACGTCATTTGCGTGCTTTAATAGCTCTATTAGAAAACCAAAAAACGTGCGCAATAGAAAAAATAATTTAATTTTGCGAATTTTAATTTTTGTAATGAGAACCCATATAAGTTAAAATAAAGCTGTGTAGACTATTGCATTACACGTAAAAAAATGTCAAATAGGTGCTGATCTGATCAATTAAAAAAGCCGTGGCCCGGCATTGATCCCCGGACTTCTCATCTGCGAAGTGGGCACGCTACTCCTGGAAAAGAACATGACGATCTAAACAATAAAATATAATAATATACACAATCAAGGTAAATTCATAAACCACAAGTACGGGGGTGTCCCATTTTCTAAAATTTAAATGACTTTCACTGAAAACGTTTTGAATGCACGCCATTAAATTGTTAGTGGGTATGTTTGGGCAAATTTTGGTTAGCGTTTTACCATATAAACGATACTCTAAAATACATGTAAAATTTGACGACAATCGGGCAGTAGTTTCGGAGATTTTTTGTCTCATATAAACTACATAGGAATGGACAATCGAAAGAACACTTTTTTCGTGCTGAAACCTTTAGATATAGAATATACTTAATAAAAAATTGGTCTAAGTTTATTTAGATATTGCTCCTGAAGTACAGTGTAACAAATCCAGCGTTTTCGCTAATTCTTCGAAAAGATATAAAATTTGAAAATTTTAATACATCGATAGTGCTAATCACATTGTAAGAAAAAAGACCCTTGAGGAGGTCGAACCTGTGACCCCCGGGTTCTTCGTCTCATTAGTCTGACGCCTTCACCACTTTCAATGTTATACTGTTTATAAAACGTCATATAATTTGGATTTTTTGCAAAAATCTGGATGCCTAGGGTAAAAGTTTCCACTTCTTTGAAAAATGATAGAAAATTTATGTTTTCTGATAGCCTTTATATAGTAAAAACCAGTGGTGCCGCCCGCAGCTAAACGTACAGACAATATGAAGTGTATTCAAAGCAAATAACCAACGGAAAAGAATGTATTATTATCAGTGTACATGCTTAACTTCGATTGTTTGTGTTTATACATCGAAAGAATGTCACGCAGAAATTAGTGTGATTTGAATGAGGTTGTCTCCTCAAAACAGGACTAAAATTATTCATTAAACCACAATCGAACAAAATATTCTGAATATTATAATCCTTATTTTAAAAATAATATTTTATTCAAAAATCACTCCAACATAAATAAACACAGATTTTACAGTTCAATAAATTAATATTCCTAGTGTCGGAAATTTTGCGTTGCTTTGTCATTAACTATTTCGTATATTTTGAATTTGACTGTTTTCTCCCAGAATTCCTGACTATATTTTTTTGTTCTCAATGAAATTTTCTATATACTTCTGTAGACTATTACTGCAACCTCCAAGATCTTTTTAATAGTGCATAGTGACTATAGAATTTGCCTACAATTTTTATTATTTTCGTTTAGAAACCAATCTAACGACAAAAGCGGAAATTCTCACTAGAACTGTAAATTTGAGATCTATTGAGGACAAATTTAACTTCTTCGAAAAATTATAAAATTTAATTTTGTGAATTTTATTTTTTATGATAACACCTACAACTCCTATAAGTTAAAATAAAGATATCTCTGGACTGTTAAAATACAGGTAAAGAAATTCCAAGGGGGTGCGAGCAGATAACCACCGAGAAAAGTGTATTCTCAGTTCATGCTTAACTTCGACTGGTTAGGTTTATTCTTCGAAAGAATTCGACTATTAAGCATATACAGATAACCAGTATCAGCGGTGGAGATCTTTGTCTCCTCAAAATAGAGGAGAAGACTAATTAATTAATTAAGCTGTAATTTTTATTATTAAATATAAGTGGGCAAGACATTACTGTATTCTTAGATTTTCGAGAAAATGGGGTGAACCGTTCCTGATTTGATTAACAGAGAAAAAAAAAAGGAAATGCCCGGGGATGGAGTTCGAACCTTGGTCTTTCATTTACAAAGCATTCGTCGAACTTCGTATTACGTATCGAAAATAGGAGAAGAATTAAACAATAAAAATAGTAATAGTAATAAATAAAATCAAGGTGGATTCATAAACCACAAGTACAGTACCTATATTATTAAAAATTAAGTGACAAATCGAGGAAATTGTAATTTTCCTTTTCAATTAAAGTGACATGGAGTGTTGACCTCACAGCGTAAGTAAAAAGTAAATAAATATTATCAATACGCAGATTATTTTAAATGATAATTTTCTAACAAATCGTAAACGTAATTCAGTCTATATAGTATAAAGACGGACGTTACGTCTATTAATTTCCTACAGGTTGAAATAAACATTGAAGCTTCTTCACGATATTTCTTGGTATTGTGAAGCGAAGCGGTCTAAGTAGAAAAACATACACCTTATATACATATTATGCTTCTATTCTTCTAAGAATCGAAAACGCCAAAAAATTGCAAACCAAAGCAGTCGAGTCGGCCTTGTGTTGTAAATATTTACACACATTAATTATAAGTAAGATTATTAAACAGTGGATAAAACGACCTTTTATCCTAATCTACTCTGCAAATTTTCTCTACAGTTTCGCTGATCATAACGAGAATAAAATGCAGTCCTTAACAATCCGCTATTCATTCAGCCTTCCAGAATGTGCAAACTCACCTCCGGCGCTGTGGGAGAAGACGGCACCCCCGGCCTGGGAGCCCCGATCCACCGGTTGATGTCGGAACGACATTCGTCCTGCAAAAAAATCAGAATGAAAACAACCAAAAAAACTGTAAAAACATTTGAAACGTTGTTTCCGTCAACGGACAAACCCAGACCTACCGCCGGAAACCGCAAAATCCCACTTCCGTGGAACTACTCGCAACCCCGCGCAAAAATCCAGAACCCACCGTCTAATAAAATGAGATCGTGATTAACCAATCATGTGTACGAATGCAAATCGCCGTTCACGTAAAACATTGAAACGTTCCATAATCCGTCTAATCTACCATTTCACTCAGTACAATAAATTAGCTGGTACCAAACGAAGTGAAAGATCGAAACGCCTCACTCGGTACTCTTCTATTTTGAATTCATTACGCCTTCTCCGCGCGATCGCTTAGAAAGGAACAGAACGCTAATTGCCACGAAAAAATTTTTTTCGTCTGACGCTGAGGGTCATGAAGTGCGTGCTGCAGGAAGCGTTTGTAGGTTAGAGCCGAGGAGGTCAATGTGTGTCGTGGGGAGGTCAGCGATAAGGCTCGGACGGAGCGGCCGGTTGAGCAACCACCCGAGTCCGGGAAGTCGTCTTCGATTCGAAGAAGATTTAAACGATAGCGTCAAAACATGATTTCGTTTCGTGTGATGTTTCAAAATTTTCAGGAAATTTTCTATTCCGCTTCGACGTCATAAAGGCGATAAAAGTTCAAAGAGGAGTTAATATTTACAGTTAGCAACATTTACATTCAGCGAAGAGGCAAGGTTAAGAACGTTTGTTTTATTAGCACAAGAAGGGAAACATTTAGAATTAGAATATCCGTAAGTCACCAAAGTAAACTAAAAATAATGCAGGACACTATTTGGACCCTTGCGGCATTTCGTAAACAGTATTTCATTCTTGAAACCAGTACTCAAATATATTCATAACATTGCTGCTTCAACAAGCAAAGTATTTCATGCGAGACTTATCTAACACTAATAAACGCGCTTAATTTGAAAGCGGGTAATAATAATTTTATTATTAAAAGTTGCACGTCGGTGAAAGCTCCATATTATTAATGGCAGAGATAATAAGACGATCCTTGAGGTCTACAGCCTTGAGATGATAAAGCCAGATTGCGCAGATTCAGATTGTACTCCAGAACCTGGGAATGCTAATTTTTAATTTATCAGTTTGAATAAGACATACTTTATCTTCTTATTGCACATTTAATTGATTAGTTCCCTTGTTTGGGGATTAGGAAGCACTGATCTGGCAATATATCAAGATAAAATTCGTTACAGGTAGTTGCAATAATTCTATACAATTATTTTAGACAAACGACGGACTAATTGGAGCTCTTAAGATTATAAGTTCTACACCCTGTGTAACAACGTAGAGTAGTATTTTTTTAATAGCAAGAAAGAAGATGGTGAAGAAGGAAAATGGACTTACTTGAGACCAGTGGAGGATATGGCAGAATCCGATTCTTTGCCTTTGGAAATCAACATACAAGAGTAAGGAAGAATAAACGAAAAAGAAAGGAAAATTATGAGAGCTTATTGAGTTCGAGGTATCTGACGCGTTTAGAAAATCTTATAAATTTTGAGTGTCTGGGTAATTTAAAGATTCTAGAAGATTTGGAGTATCTAGAGAATTTGAGGAGTCTTCACAGAGTACAGAGACTCTAGATAATCTAGGAGCCTAGAGATTCCAAAGAATTCAGCGACTTTAAAACATTAACAGTGTAGAAATTCTAGGAAATCTACAGAATCTAAAGAGCCTCCCGAGTACAGAGAATCTAGAGTGCTTAGAAATACTAGAAACTATAGAGCCCAGAGAATTTATAGAGTAGAGAGGGTTATCTAGGAACCTAAAAAACGTATAAAGCCCGAAGTTCTGCAGATCTATCTAGATTTTATAGATTCTCTGGATTTTCTAGTTACTGTAACGTTCCAAAATCTTTAGATTCCAAATGATATAAATTGTCGCTCGACTCTGTAAATTCTCTAGACTTTATACTCTTTAGGGTTTTTTGTACTCTAGATTATCACTAATCGGGAAGCTCTCTTAATTTTTAGATTCCTCACACTCTCGTGGTTCAGATTCTCTAGACTTTCTAAAATTTCTAAATACTCTAGATTCTCTCTGTTCTCAAGGCCTTCGAAACTACGTAGACTTTCTTCTAGATTCTTCAGTCTCTTAAGTTGACTATATTGTCTCGGTTTTCTCAAGTCTCCATATACTGTAAGATCTGTAGAAATACTAGAGAGTATAGAGCCCAGAGAATTTACACAATAGAGAGAGTGATCTAGGAACCTAAAAAACCTATAAAGCCCGAGGTATCTGCAGATCTACCTAGATTTTATAGATTCTCTGGATTTTCTAGTTACTGTAACGTTCCAAAATCTTTAGATTCCAAATGATATAAATTGTCGCTCGACTCTGTAAATTCTCTAGACTTTATACTCTTTAGGTTTTTTTTGTACTCTAGATTATCACTAATCGGGAAGCTCTTTTAATTTTTAGATTGCTCACACTCTCGTGGTTCAGATTTTCTAGACTTTCTAAAATTGCTAAATACTCTAGATTCTCTGTTCTGAAGGCCTTCGAAACTACGTAGACTTTCTTCTAGATTCTTCAGTCTCTTAAGTTGACTATATTGTCTCGGTTTTCTAAAATCTCCATATACTGTAAGATCTGTAGAAATACTAGAGAGTATAGAGCCCAGAAATTTACCAGTAGAGAGGGTGATCTAGGAACCTAAAAAACCTATAAAGCCCGAAGTATCTGCAGATCTATCTAGATTTTATAGATTCTCTGGATTTTCTAGTTACTGTAACGTTCCAAAATCTTTAGATTCCAAATGATATAAATTGTCGCTCGACTCTGTAAATTCTCTAGACTTTATACTCTTTAGGTTTTTTTTGTACTCTAGATTATCACTAATCGGGAAGCTCTTTTAATTTTTAGATTCCTCACACTCTCGTGGTTCAGATTCTCTAGACTTTCTAAAATTTCTAAATACTCTAGATTCTCTCTGTTCTGAAGACCTTCGAAACTAGGTAGACTTTCTTCTAGATTCTTCAGTCTCTTAAGTTGACTATATTGTCTCTGTTTTCTAAAGTCTCCATATACTGTAAGATTTGTAGAAATACTAGAGACTATAGAGCCCAGAGAATTTATAGAGTAGAGAGGGTGATCTAGGAACCTAAAAAACGTATAAAGCCTGAAGTGTCTGCAGATCTATCTAGATTTTATAGATTCTCTGGATTTTCTAGTTACTGTAACGTTCCAAAATCTTTAGATTCCAAATGATATAAATTGTCGCTCGACTCTGTAAATTCTCTAGACTTTATACTCTTTAGGGTTTTTTGTACTCTACTAGATTATCACTAATCGGGAAGCTCTCTTAATTTCTAGATTCCTCACACTCTCGTGGTTCAGATTCTCTAGAGTTTCTAAAATTTCTAAATACTCTAGATTCTCTCTGTTCTGAAGACCTTCGAAACTAGGTAGACTTTCTTCTAGATTCTTCAGTCTCTTAAGTTGACTATATTGTCTCGGTTTTCTAAAGTCTCCATATACTGCAAGATCTATAGAAATACTAGAGAGTATAGAGCCCAGAGAATTTACACAATAGAGAGAGTGATCTAGGAACCTAAAAAACCTATAAAGCCCGAGGTATCTGCAGATCTATCTAGATTTTATAGATTCTCTGGATTTTCTAGTTACTGTAACGTTCCAAAATCTTTAAATTCCAAATGATATAAATTGTCGCTCGACTCTGTAAATTCTCTAGACTTTATACTCTTTAGGTTTTTTTTGTACTCTAGATTATCACTAATCGGGAAGCGCTTTTAACTTTTAGATTGCTCACACTCTCGTGGTTCAGATTTTCTAGACTTTCTAAAATTGCTAAATACTCTAGATTCTCTGTTCTGAAGGCCTTCGAAACTACGTAGACTTTCTTCTAGATTCTTCAGTCTCTTAAGTTGACTATATTGTCCCGGTTTTCTAAAGTCTCCATATACTGTAAGATCTGTAGAAATACTAGAGAGTATAGAGTCCAGAGAATTTACACAATAGAGAGGGTGATCTATGAACCTAAAAAACCTATAAAGCCCGAAGTATCTGCAGATCTATCTAGATTTTATAGATTCTCTGGATTTTCTAGTTACTGTAACGTTTCAAAATCTTTAGATTCCAATTGATATAAATTGTCGCTCGACTCTGTAAATTCTCTAGACTTTATACTCTTTAGGTTTTTTTTTTGTATTCTAGATTATCACTAATCGGGAAGCTCTTTTAATTTTTAGATTGCTCACTCTCGTGGTTCAGATTCTCTAGACTTTCTAAAATTTCTAAATACTCTATATTCTCTCTGTTCTGAAGGCCTTCGAAACTACGTAGACTTTCTTCTAGATTCTTCAGTCTCTTAAGTTGACTATATTGTCTCGGTTTTCTAAAGTCTCCATATACTGTAAGATCTGTAGAGTCTAGACTTGCTAGAATTTATAGATTTTCGGAGCTCCCTAAATTGCCTAGTTTCTCTAAGCTGCCTATAGTTCCTAGAAATTGTACTTTACAGTTACTATGCCGTTTTTAGAGTTTCTAAATACTCTGAGCATCTCTCGATTCTATACTCGCCAGGATTTTTAGAAATTTCTAGACATTTTAAAGTTTCTAAATACGCTAGAATCACTATGCTCTGATCAAAAATCTACAGAGTCAGGAGGGACTACTGTTTATAGATAATTATCTACGGTATTTATAAACCCTACAGAATAGTTATATAGAACCTGCGCTATCTACAGAGTATAGGGGCTACTGTTTATAGATAATCTACGGTATTTCGAAATGCTACAGATCATATAGAACCTGAACTCGGAAGTTCGTACAGCACGACACAGGAAATTTTGTAGGCACGCGACATGGCTTACAAGTTTACAAGGATTATAATACGAAAATCCGATTCGGTATTGTCAACCAAATAATCCTAATTATGTCATAAAATTTTATTAATCTGCTTTTAAAGTGATCTTACAATACTTTC